ATTTTTTTCCATCATCATCATCATTTTTTGTTGAATTGAAAAAAAAAAAACCAAAAAATTATCTAAGTTTTTTTTTTTTTTTTTTTTGGTTAATGTTGAAAAATTTATAAAGAATTTCTTTTTTCTTTTTTCATTCAAAATGAATATCATCTTTATTATTATTATGTAAAAAAAACATTCATAGGAAGACGACGACAACAAAAATTTCAATGGCGTTTTTTTTCTTCTTCTGAAAACATTTTCTGGTCGGCTGGTTGGCTGCTGGCTGGCTTTATAATTATACACAAGGATGATGACCAAAAGTATAGAAACAACAGTCAACCATACGACCAAGAAGAAGAAAAAGAATCATTGTTTCTATGTTTTTGGAAGAAAATGATGATGATGATGATAGGTGTCGAAATATAATGAATGTTGATCATCATCATCATCAATGAATTTTTACACAATATGCAATAAAGCCGCCCAAATGTCAAAGGTGTGTGTGCGATAACGTTAGGTTAGGTAAGATGAGGTGAAAGTTGAACCAAAAAAAAAAGAACAATGGAAAATAAATTTTCTTTTTCTTTTAAATTTATGTAAACCCTCCTCATACATCCCACAAAGAAACAACAACAAAATCTGACCTAACCTTTCTTTTTAATGTTTGTTTGTTTGTTGAATATTTTTTATGGCCAGAAAAATGATGATGATTATGAAAAAAGATTTACAACCACATTGACCTTTTTGATTCATTTTTTCTTTATTTGATTATAAGCATCAGCAAGAATTTTTTTTTTTTTTTTGCATCAGTATTCGTCTGTCATATGATTGTATAATGATGACAGTAGCCGTATTTGTTGGAGGTCTGGGTAATAAATTTATATTTTGATTCGCTTAAAAAAAATGTAGAGAATTTACGATCAAATGATGATGGCAAAAACCGCAATGATGTTCTTTTTTTTCTCTCTCAGTTCACGAAGTTCAAGAATCGTATATTTGCATACACCAGGCTAGCTTATTCAAATGATGATGACGTTTATGTCAGAATGTAAATCATCATCATCATTATTCCTGTGTATCCTATGTATCATATATGCTTCATTAAATTCAATGATAAATTTTGAAACAAAAGGATTAAGAAGAATATTCTTCTAAATGTAAATGTGAATTTCATTCTATGGACATTAATAAAGACTAACTAACTTGCGATTTGTCTATTTGTCAATTTCTATTATGGCTATGTTATCTTGGTGGTGTATATTCGTTGAATTTGAAATAGAAAACATGAAATTCATTTTCATTAAAAAAAAAGTATTAAAAAAATGATAAATTTCAATCCATTAACAATGACAACATTCCAAACATTTTACCAGAACAAATTAAATAAATTCAAATGTTGAAAAAGAATTCATTAAATATTTTTTTCTTTTACTTTTAACATTTCAATGGTCATGTTTTCTGTTGAAATTTATTAAAATTTGTACCAAAAGAAAAACACGATTCATATAATGAATGTTCCAACAACATTCAAATAAGAAACATGTTGTTCCATTCACTTGATTTGATATAATTGAATCAAAAATCATCACTTTATTATTTAAAAAAAAACTTTTACATTTGAAACTAAGAGAATATTCTATTGGGAGGAGTTGTTTTTTTTTTGTTTGTTGGAAACATTATTTTCAAAAATGAACAACGAAACTTGTACTAAATCACGTGCAATTATTCTCATTGAAACCTAAATAAAGTCATAATGTAATGTTTTTTTTTCAATGGAAAACAGAAACAAAAATTGAAATTTTTTTTTGTTTCAAAATTTCGTGACTAGACAATTGAATGATTGAATTATTGAATGAACTTTTTTGTTGAATCATTTTGTTTTGTTTTTAGCCATTGGATTTACATTGTGTGTGTGTGTGTGTGTGGATATTTGCTGATAAATCTTAATGATTCTCATTTTCTTAACTTTTTCTTTTTCTCTATCGATAATAATAATGATGCTTAATATCTTTATATATTACCCTTCACTGTTGGTTTCTTTTTTCCATAGCCCTTGAAAATGTTGTTGGAAAAAATTGTTCATTACATTCACGAATCGAAAAATAATAACAAAAGAAAATTCAGAAACCATATTGAATGAATGTTTATAAATGGTTGAATAAATAAATGAATGAATGAATGGTTGTTTGTAATTGTGATTGGTAGGAGTGAAGAATCACTACTCTTATCTTCATATTTGCAAAGAAAAAATGAAACAAGAAACAAGGAGAAAAAAATTTATTTTTGCAAATTTTTTTCCCGTATTTTTTTCACTTAGTTAGTTAGTTAAAATGTGAATATTAAAATGATGATATTTCCATTTAAGAATCGAAACTCACAAAAAAAATATTCTTTGCCTTCTTTTTCATATCGTTATACCAAAGAAAATTAGAATCAGAATTCTGTGAATTGTATAAATATATAAGGAATATGAATGAATGACTTAATTAATAATCACCCATACCATGATTCTTTGATTTCATTCACTTATTTCATCATCATCATCATCATCGTCTATTAAAACAAAATGTTTCATCAAAGATGTATTTACCCGCACATATCCGGCGGGATGTTTGAGTGAACAGAAAAAAAAGTTGAAAATGATGATCATCATCATCATCATTATATTCAATCAATAAAACATCAACAACAAAACAGAGAGAGAGAGAGAGAGAGAGAGAGAGAGAGAGAAAATCGATCCAAAAAGTTTCAGAATTT